TGCACATGCCCATGTGAGTCCAAGATAGAGAGGAGGGAGACAACTCTACTGGGATTTCTTCTATTTATAGAGGAAGAAACAATCCCATAAATATGGGTGCCAGGAAAGCAGCCCAAGGGGTCAATTGTGCCTAAGATTAGAAAGTTGCTAAAAATTCTGGGAAGTGTAGGTGTGAGCAGTTCTAACCAAGCACCACTGTTGATAAGGTGACAGCTGTTGACGTAAATAAACAATATTTGGAGCCCATAAATACATAACTGGAAGAGTGGAGAGACAATGGACAGCCTTCTCCACGGGCGTAATAGCAGATCCTAATGATTGTTCTCTGCAAACTGAAGGACAGGGATTATCAGGAGTGAATTCACGTAAATGAATTCAAGGAAGTGACAGGAGTCTTGCCATGGCCAAGCCTTCCCACTGCAGCCAGTGCCAGCGCAGCTGTGGGTTAGGAAGCATTGGCCCCCAGCTGCCACAGAGCAAGTGATGTAAACACATATACTCTGGTGACAACAGCTCCTCGTTTGTAGCTAAGACACAAGGATTCAGAGAATTTTTAATAATCAGAACTCTTTCAGCTTGGAAAGGAAGTCCTGAAAATACCATGAGGGTGGCCTCGAGTAAAGGCAATGTTAAGTGGGATATAGTATTACCTTACCCTACACACACACACACACACACACACACAGTACTTCTTGACATCTACACTGTTGATGACTCTCCTTTGAGTCAGAAAATTCAGTGACTCTGAGGCTGAGATCCAGTCTTCTATTTACAGAGTAGTGGCCATCAACCTGGGAACATCTTTATTTGGTAAGTTAATTTGATTCACAGTCAAAGTCAAACTCTGGCACAATTCAACAAGTAACTCTAAAATCTGGTGCTGAAATTGAAATATGGGTAATGTTAATTTTAATTGCTAACATCACTGAGGCTTATCACCTACCAGGCATTTTTGGGGGTACTTTATATGTAATAACGCATTCAAATCTCCTAAGAACTTCTGAATTATATACTATTTCCTCCATGTTATAGATTAGTAAACTGAGGTATGGAAAGCCTGAGAAAATGTCAGAGGACATCCACTTGATAATATCGAAGCTGGTACCTGAACCCTGGACAATTCAACTAGAGTACTTGTTATGACCTATATGCCTTGAGATACCACTTTCCCACCTTTGACTAGTTGTCAAATAGAGGGTGCCTGGTTAAATTTGAATCTCAGAAAAACAACAAATAATTCTGGACAACGAGTAGTGTCCCAAATGTCATGTGGCACATACTTAACACTAAAATATTAGTCATTGTTTACCTGAAATCCAGTCTTCCAACTCTGTCCCAGGAGGAGGTGTTTGCACCAAGGAAGCAAAGAAAAAATTTTGATTAATTTGAGCTTTGGTCTCAAACCCCAAATCAGAATGCAGATCACAAGATTGGCCTTAGTGCGGAACTCCTTTTTCCTACCCCAGAACCAGTCTAGAATAATAACTCTCAAACCTGCCTGTAGGCCAGCATCTCTAGGTAGCTTTAATAATGCACACAGCTGGGCCTAGCCTGTTTGAGATTTACTAGGCTCAGGGTGGTATGCAAGCACTTGTATTTTCTAATAAGTTTCCAAGTGTTTTCTTTTCTTCTCCTCCTCTTCTTTCCCCGTTCTGTTTTATAGTCCAGCTATTCATGATTGGCCTACAAAGCAGTGACTGGGAATCACTGGTCTGAAATTCTGTCTCTAAGTGGCAATTTACCATTTCTAGCAAGTTCAAGCAGACAGCCTGGAACATACCCTCCATATGGGCGGAGGAGTGGATAAAGAGGCCAAGAGTATGAGAAAGTTTCCTTACAACACCCAGGCTGTCATCTAGGCCTCATTGAGTTGAGTTTGCAGGCTCCAACCTGGACAACACAGGGGAGAGAGAAGATTTTTCAGAGAGAGATTGAAAGAATTAAGAGAAAGAGACATATGAGGGCCAGGCCTCCCAATGGGACACAGACCCTGGCACAAGGAGAGGGTAGATCACACCCATATGCACTGTGACTGCTTCCCTCTTTGAAATCTTCAGCACTACAGATCGCGGTGCAAACAGTGCTCAGGAACTGACATTAAAATGGTTTCCCTGGAGGTGGAGAACAAGTCAATATGGGGTGGGAAAGAGTACAAGCTTCCTCTGCAGTGTGGCTGAACTCCAGGAAGGTATTAGAACTATTGGGATTTTATCAAGATAAGTTTCTGCAAAGCAAAGGAAATAATCAACAAAACTAAAAGGTCACCTGTGGTATTGGAGAAGATATTTGCAAATGACATATCTGATACAGGGTTGGTATCCAAAATCTATAAAGAACTTAGCAAACTCAACACTTAGGAAATGAATAATCTGGTTAAAAAATGGACAGAAGACATGAATAGACATGTTTCCAAAGAAGACATTCAAATGGCCAACACACACATGAAAAGATGCTCAACGTTACTCATCATTGGGAAAACACAAATCAAAATCACGATGAGATATCACCTCACACGTGTCAAAATGGCTAAAATTAACAACACGAGACAACAGCTGTTGATGAGGATGTGGAGAAAGGGAACCCTCTTGAACTGCTGGTAGGAATGCAAACTGGTGCAGCTTCTCTGGAAAACAGTATGGAGGTTCCTCAAAAAGTTAAAACTAGGGGCACCTGGGTGGCTCAGTCGGTTAAGTGTCTGACTTTGGCTCAGGCCATGATCTCATGGTTCATGGGTTCGAGCCCTGCACTGGGCTCTGTGCTGACAGCTAGCTCAGAGCCTGGAGTCTGTTTCAGATTCTGTGTCTCTATCTCTCTCTGAGCCTCCCCTGCTCTCTCTCTCTCTCAGAAATAAATATAACATTAAAAAAAATTAAAACTAGAACTACCTTACTATCCAAAAATTTTACTGCCAGGTATTTCCCTGAAGAATACAAAAATACTAATACAAAGGGATGCATACACTCTGATGTTTATAACAGCATCATCTACAATAGCCAAGATATGGAAATAGCCCAACTGATGAATGGATGAAGAAGAGGTGGTATATATTACCTCTATATAGAGCTGGAGAGTATTACACTTGAAATAAGTCAGTCAGGGCGCCTGGTTGGCTCAGTTGGCTAAGCGTCTGGCTTCAGCTTGGGTCACGATCTCACAGTTTATGAGTTTGAGGCCTGCATCGGGCCCGGATAGCTTGGAGCCTGGAGCCTGCTTCAGATTCTGTGTCACACTTTCTCTCTACCCCTCCCCCACTCATGCTGTCTCTTTCTCAAAAATTAATAAGCATTAACATTTTTTTAAACTGAAATAAGTCAGAGAAAGACAAATAGCATATGATTTCACTCATATGTAGAATTTAAGAAACCAAAAAAAAAAAAAAACAAAAACGAGAAAAGGGAAAGAAAGAGAGAAAGAGAAACCAAGAGACTTGACTATAGAGAGTGAACTGATGCGAGGTAGGTAGGAGGAAGGGTTAAATAGGAATGGGGACTAAGGAGGGCACTCGCTGTGATGAGCACTGGGTGATGTATGGAAGTGTTGAATTGCTATATTGTACACCTGAAACTAATACTACACTGTATGTTAATTAACTAGAATTTGAATAAAAACTGAAAAAAAGGACATATCCAAGGGCACATCTCAGAAATAATCAAGTTCTGTTTCACAGACTTGTTCTGTTATTTAACTATTCTGTTCTGTTATTTACACATATATTCTCATACATTTTATTATATGTGTGTGTGTATACATGCACATATTATAAAATACATTTCTTTTTATAGAGCCTGGTCAAAATGTTTGAAAAACACTACGCTAAGGGTAAATATCCATCACTTTTAGAAAGCACAGAGCAGGCGGGAGGGAATAGGACTCAAAGAAGATAGATTTTGAGAAGCAAGGTCTAGAACGATCTGGAGCGTGGGCTGCTGCTCAAAGAAAGTTAAAATCAGTAGATTTAGAAGGAGTTTTGGCAAGTGGGAAGGTAGGGACAGGAGAGGACCGAAATTCACCTGAGGGTAGAAGGTAAACACAAAAGCTGTATATGTTTCATTGCTTATTTTTCCTACTTCCCTTGGAAGCCCTAGAAAGAATTGCTGCTGACATGGAAGCCACATCTGTGGTAGTCTTTATCCTGTCCCTAATGCCTTTTTTCTCTTCTTGTAGACCAGAAAGCAAAGTGTGGGGCCTGTCGGGGATGTCAGGATTTGCGTGAGGGTCAAGGTTCACCCAGGAAACAAGGTAAGAGCTGGAAGGGAAGGTCCAACTCTGTGTTTTCGGTGCTGCTTGCTGATCCAGCTCACTTATTCTGACGGTGGGTTATCAAGTTCAGGAATCCTATTTTTCCATTGTTTCCTACGGAGCTGTGAAAGAGTATTGAGAAGTTATAGCATTTCTTAGTTTCCGTCAATGTTGTCCAATATCGCTTTTCGAAAATTGTGCTAAAAAACTCACATACAGTAAAATGTGCCATCTTAACACTGATTCTACCCTTATATTAATGGTCCTACAGATCTTTGGTTACTTCAGTGCTTGTTTTTACTGAGATGAAAGGGGAAACCATGAAATATAAGGCTAGATGTTAAATGCATTTAGTCGCAGAGCTGAGCAAGTCATAATTTTAAAATAGCCTGTGTTTAGGCAAATTTGAGAGCTCTTGAGCCATTTTCTAGGAAGTTTGTAAAGACAGAGATTTCGTACCTCCTGGTACTGGAGCAGAAGGAATGGTATCTCAGGCTACACACATGAAATGGAAAAATAATCAAACACTCAGGGCTTCTGTTCTGCTCAGTTAGGCACAAAGCACTGTGTATATTTTTAAATTTTGGCTTGAATGACTTGCTTTGTTTTTGTTTTTTGGGGTTTTTTTTGTTTTTATTATTTATTATTTTTTTATTTTGCATCAGCCTTGTAGCCTTGCCTGGTACATTAATTGTCTAGCTGCACACTGTGACCCCAATTGTTCGTGCTGAGTCCACAGGAAGGAGGGAGACCAGCTGAAGATGAAAATCTGCATTCTCTGGCTCATGTCTTTCTTCACACTTGCCGTCGGCCAGGAAAGCTTCCTGGGGGTGAGCTGGCACATGCCCCATTTTTTTCTCCCTACAGCCTCTCTTCTCTCCGTCTGCACTTTGAGAACCTATCACTCTCTCGGCAACTGGAGCTATATAATTTAATAGACTTGGAATCAGAAGTCCTGGGTTCTTGGCTCCACATGACCAACATGAGTTGGGGAGCCTTGGATAAACAGTTTCATCTCCTGGAAGTTAGATGATCTAGCTGCAAAATAAGGAACTCAGACAGAACCATCTTGGAGATGTCCACTAGCTTAACACATTCCTTCCTATGGTTTCTTTGACTAAGAAAAAGCATACAGATTGGCATGGGCAATCCTTGGACTCTCTTCCCTCTCTCCACTTACTTTTTTGATGATTTCATCTAGGATCATGGTTTTAATGTTCTCTGATGGCTCCGCAATTTACATCTGTCTCTCAGCCTTCTCCCCTAAACTCTAACCTCATATATTTACTACCTACTTGCTATCTCCAGTTGGGTGCCCAATAGGCCCCTTACCTTAATAAATCCACAATTAAATTCTCACTTTTTTTCCTCAGCAAACCTGCTTCTCCTTTCTCATCTCAGCAAGTGGTGCCATTGTCCCTCTAGATGTCTGGGCAGAAAATTTATTTTCATGTGTGACTCTTCCTGTAACCCATATCTAAACCATTGGCTCTTATTTTGTTTTGCTTTATCTTTAAAATACACCCAGAATTCAAACATTTCTCATTACCTCTATGGCTACCACCTCGATCCACACCTTCAGTATATCTCACCTGTGTTATTGAAATAACTCCTGAGATGCTCTCATTGCTTTTGTGTTTGTCTGTTCCTAACATGGCTGCGGGATTGAGCCTTCTAAAAAGAAAAGTAGACCACTCTCACCTCTGTTCAGAACTCTCCAGTGGGTTCCTATCTCAATGAAGTAAAAGCTAAGCCATTGCTATAGCCTATCTCCTTGGAGATATTCTCTGATCTCACTTCCTGCTCCTCTCCCCTTACCCATTCCACTGAGCTACTCTGGCCTCATCGCTCACATACCAGACATGTCCTTATCTCAAGACTATTGCATGTGCTGTTCCCTTTGCCAGAAAAGTTCTTTTCCAGGGATCCTCGGTTCCCCACCTCCTTTAGGGTTGTGCTCAAAAGTTGCTTCAGTGAGGTCTTCTCTGGCCACCTCTTTACCATCCTTGGCTTGGACTTTTAGATCCATAATTTCAGTTCTTCAGGGAGATCCAATTTGGCTAATTGCTGAGATCCTTATGAAGTACATCATTACAAAGCCATGTCGTAATTATTCTTTTCCCCCCTTTTAAATAGAGAAATGAAGGCACCAAAACAAAAAGTGGACTCATTGTGAATAAGAAAAAGCATCCAGGTGAGCGTCCCTTAGAGTGTGGTATGATAGACACTGGTGCCAAGGGACCAGGGTTCAAATCTCAATAGTGCTTGTGACTGGTGTATGACCTCAAATCTGTGAGGTTAGACTAATAGCAGTCCCTACTAACAAAACATTTATGAAGGTTAAATGATATAAAAAGGCAAAGTATCCTGCACCATACCTGACAAGGAGCTCTTCCTTTCCTTCCTTATCTCAATCCTAACAAAGTCTTTAATGGGTACCACCCTCAGTCTAGAAATGGATTGTGTTCTGAGATTTAATTTGTCATTCTGATGTTTCAAGCACTGAATGTATTTCCTGGAAACAGTGATGTACACTGATGGTTGCTTGGTTCCTGGGTCAGCCCACAAAAGCCTTTCCCCGGTGCAGCGGTCTGTCATAAGACAGCGTTCTAATAGTGTCACTAAACTCATCACCGTGCAAGCCTGGCTATGATTCTTCAGAAAATGAAATGGAAATTCAACTTGGAATGCTGTGGATACATTTTCTCTGGCAGTAAAAAATACAGCTAGTATTTATTGAACTGTTAGCAAGTGCCAGGCACTATTTTCCGTGTATTAGATGAACTAAATCCTGACATTGAGCCTCTCATTTAGGAACAGTGGTCATTTTTATTTTATAGATAATAAAATTAAAAACAGAGCTAGGGGGCAAGTAGAATGATTCATACCCAGTCAATCTGACTCCCAAACCAGTGCCATTAACCTCTGACACTGACCATCCCCCCACTTCTTACCTGCTTGGGCAGTAGGAACAAGAGTGCCCTATAGCTCTCTCTACTTGGTGTGGCTCCCAGAACCTGGGGCAGAGGCTACAGCCTGCAAGAGGGGAGAGTAAGAGGCAGGGCACAGGCTTTAAGGAGTGAGATGGTGGAAGTTATGGCAGCCAGGAAGCTCTTATAGATGTTTTGGGACATGTCAGCCTCAGCCAGCTTCCTGGTACCCTCTTGACTACTTTCTGAAAAGTCTAGGGATTGATCTGCTCAGTTCCTTCTCTATAAATTTCCTTTTTGCCTGGACACCCCCATCCAGGTCCCTAAGAAATGGGACAGTCTCATAGAAACTCCCATGTCATCTGTCCCCACAAAAAGCATGAATGTTCCAAGAAATCTAAGACTTCTAAGAGATTTCACCACCAGTGGAAATCAAAAGAGACCCAGGAAAAAAGGTTCACTTTTCCCCTCCTTTTCTCTAAGGTCCTTCACATTCCTAATCTAAGATCCATAGATGAGCTTTGGAGGATCTTGAAACCCCATGAAATCGCACACTAAGTTTCATGTAAATGTGCCTAAATGAGTTCTGGGTGAGAGAATACTCATAGGATTCATATTCTCTATGAGCCCGGAACACTTAACGGGCTCCCCTTAGGGAAACAATAGGTGCTGCTCAGGAGTGGTAAGGCAGAGGTGAGGGTGCATAAAGGCTCAAGTGAAGGCTCTGGTGTAGTTTTGCTTTTGCATGTCATGTAAGGTACTCAAATTTGGCTAATTGTTGGAACCTCTTCACAGGAGAAAAAAGGGCTCTTTGCTGAGGGTGAGACTGAGGGCTTTATACCAGAGATACTTCAAGGAGACCAGAGCAGGGAGAGTAAGAGGGAAGAGGGACTAGCATCGTCTCACCTCTTCTTCCTTGGGTCTTGATCCCTGAAACCTGACCCTGGACGTGTCCTGAGGAACTGTGTCAAGTCGGGAGGGTGAAGCCAGGGTGGGTCAGAGAGAGCAGGAACAGCTGCCCTAGCAGACGTGGGAGAATGGGCACATATCACTCACGTGTGGGACCATCTGCAAGGGTTTATTCTGGATGCTCATTTTTACTTACTGTCTGGATGAGCAGATGCCAGTAACAAGCAGTGTGGCGTGTTATGACCTCCCAGACTACATGTGATAATTGCTTTATGGTGGCTTCCTTGACAGTACTTCTCTCTCAGGCTGAAAGAGGAGGCTCCTGACTCTCTTCCTTTCTTTAGGCTCAGTCCAGGAATATGAGCTGCTGCTTCAGGTGGCCTACAGAGATTCCAAGGAGAAGAGAGACTTGAAGAATTTTCTTAAGCTTTTGAAGCCTCCATCATTTTGGTTACATGAACCAATGAGGATTCTCAGAGCAAAGGCCACCACATGTAAATCTGCCTTCTGGGAACTGGGAGTGGAAATGGGGAAGGTGGGTGTATCAGTCAGGACAGGTTAGGTTATGATATGGAGACAACCATCTCCACCATAACTGTGGCTTGGAAGAATACATCTGTTATTTCTTCTTCATGCTATATCCCTACTCCAGGTTGGCAGCATGGTTGTGTTTGTGTGGTCACTTGGGAATCCAAGATAATCAATGTACCCAGTTTGAGCCAAAAAGAAATGGAAAACTAGAAGGTTTCACACTGGCAATTGAATTCTCCAACTCAGAAGTGACAAACATTAATCTGCTCAGAACTTATTGGCCAAAACTGGTTTCATGGTCCCATTCAATCTCAGGGGAGGCAAGATATGTAATCCTGCTATGTGCCTGGAAAAGAGCAAGAAATAATTGACAAACAGCAGTCATGACCACAATGCTGGTTTTCAGAGATGTCAATGGTTTGTCTAAAGCAGTCGTTCTCAAAGTATGGTGCCTAGGTGAGCAGCAGCAGCAGTATCAGGGAACTTAATGGAAACGCAAACCGTTGGCCCATCCCAGACTTGCTGAATCAGAAACTTTGGGATGACGCCCTCCAGGTGATTCTGACACATGGCAACATTAAAGAGTCATTCACTACATGCCATCATGCATATTTTCACAAAGATGTCTGGTGACTTTGCCCCAGTTTTTTGTCTATTATAAAGGAAGGCCTTTTGGTGGGCATTTTTGGTCAGTTAGTAGGAAATGAGCATACAGAATTGGCTGATGGAATTTTTCATCATGATTCTTAAAAACAAATGTCTCTTGGTGTTTGCCATCTTGCTTATGGGGCCTACCTAAAAATGGTGTTAGGTAGACAGGAGGAGCCTCCAATGAAGTAGTGGAGAAATACCTTCTAGAACTCTTAAATAACTGTCAGGTTGGTATACTCTCTTCTGCTTCTCTTTTCCATTCCAAGGTCTATCTCCTGGGCATCCATCTTTCTTTGGGATGCTAGGCCTAACCACTTGATTTTATATTTGCCAGGTGTTTGATACCAGTCTCAGAATCTATTGAGCTGGACATTTCCTTACCTTGAACACATTGCCATCTTAGTTTTATCCTTCTAGCTTTTGGAGAGAAACACTGGGTTCAGATTCTTTTTTTTTTTTTTTTAATTTTTAATGTTTTATTTATTTCTGAGAGAGAGAGAGAGACAGCGTGAGCAGGGGAGGGTCAGAGAGAGAGGGAGATACAGAATCTGAGGCAGGCTCCAGGCTCTGAGCTAGCTGTCAGCACAGAACCCGACGTGGGGCTCGAACCCACGAACCGTGAGATCATTACCTGAGCTGACGTCAGACACTTAACCTACTGGGCCACCCAGGCGCCCCTACTGAGTTCAGATTCTAAGTCAGAAACAAGGATGAGAACTTGACACTAGTCAATTTATAAATCAGGCCCCCTGAGACTAAGCTCTGTTTTCTGTGCAGACTGCAGGCACCAGAATGGGGTCTTGCAGTGTTCCTGTGAGGACGGCTACACCTGGTTCCGTCCCTCGTGCCTTGATCCCCAGAAATGCTACCTTCACACGGCCGGAGCACTCCAGAGCTGTGACTGTCATCTCAACAACCTCACCCAGAGCATCAATTTCTGTGAGAGAGCAAGTAAGCACATCAGGGCGCTGGGAGGAGAGCCCTGGGTCTACACCCTGGCACCCAACAAGCCACGGAGAGGGAGCTCTAGCTCTTCGCCCACATGATCTTCTTTGTCTCCATGCAGAGCTAGTGTTTACACGCTAAGCAAAGGGGGATAACAGTATACCCCACTAGGCTTAGCTCCACACAGTGAGAGCTCTATAAGTGGAGAAAATTCTGAAATGCAAGTTGATGTTTGAACATCACTTCAAATTTGAGGTTCATCTGCCTCAGCTCTGCAATTCTCTGATTTTATTGAGATTTAGGGGGATTCACTGAAATCCCAAGTAGGAGAACTGCTTAAGTAAATAATTTTTTTCCTGCCTGCTTTCATTTCTTTTGCTAACATCACCTTTCAGAAAAGAGAAGTCTAGAGGTGTAAGAGCAAGGAGGAGCACAGAGTGATTACATTGAAATATATGTCCAAAGTTGCCTACAAATATGTGTACTGAATGCATTACCAAAACAAGACAGAAGTTAGAAGTCTATTTTAGGAAACCAGTGGAAGCCAAGTGAGCTGTTGCCTTAGGTGTATATTCAGTGGATGATGAAGTAAATCAAATGATGTGGACTCCAGGGCTTGAAGGTCTTTACATAGTTTCCTCAGAGATTACTCCGGTTATCTTGAAGCTTTAAATTTTGGCAGAGCTGAGCAAAGAGTGAAGGAGAAACTGAAATAGCCCAGATTTTCTGGACATTCCTGACTCCCCTTCCCAGGACAAAGCCAATTCATGAAGGCAAATCATATTTATTAAACACCATCTTTATACCCAGGTCAGAGGCAAATTCTGGGAGGACACAATGAAGCATTTCTCTCTATGAATTAGAAGGCTAGTTGGGGAGGCTAGGCTACTATACAAGAAAGAAGATTATATAATTTCTTCAGCAAATTTGAATGAAAGCCTGCCTTTTGAAGGGTGATCTGTGTCTGATCCATCTCGAAGAGATACAAAGATAGATCAGACAGGGATGACACTCACCAGGGTCTTCCCAAGGTGGAGTGGGCACATAGAAACATGAGAAATTCTCACAAATAGATATGCCTGTACAAGACGTTGTAAAGGGGGTATGGACAAAGTATTGTAGGAGTTTCGAGGAAGGAAAGAATCTTTGCATCTGGGAATCAGGGGAAGGCTTGCAGAGGAGGTACATTTGACTAGGTGCTGAATGAAGGATAAATGGGATTTATCCATATAAAAATGACCAACAACTTGTCCCTGCACAGGAAAATACTAGCAATGGGTGAACAAGGGTATGCTAGAGATAGCAAGTAGTGTTTTATTGTTTTGTTTTGTTTTGTTTTTAATGTTTAATAGGGAGAGTGTTTAAGCTCAGTGCCTAAATGGGCACATATTTCAGTGTTAAGTGACTGCTTTCTTTTTTTTTAAACCTCACGTGGGTGACCACACATTTACCTACTTATAAGGTTGTGTTATCACCAGAACTTTCCCATTACATTCTAAATCCACAACTGAATATCTAGTTTTATGTACACTTCTTATATTATTTTAGGTGAACATTCATTGCAAAAAGAAATTGAAATACTGCTGTTGAATAGATGGGCTCTAAATGTACTTCTGTAATTTTATGCAAATAATTTTTATATCTCTTAACCTCTTTTTATTTCCCATAGAAGTTTGGGGCACTTTCAAAATTAATGAAAGATTTACCAAAGACCTTTTGAATTCATCTTCTCCTTCGTATTCCAAATATACAACCGGAATTGAAATTCAAGTAAGCAATTTCTACTTATTGCATAAGAAATCATTGGCTGAACATAAATTCAAGTGTTTTCAATTCAGCATGTTTATTTAATACATATTCTTAATCATTCACATTCAATGAGTTATTACAGAGCCGTTAATCACATGGCTCACAACTGGCGTACATTGAACATTGTCTTTCTGGGAGAGCTTTAGCAATTGACTTCTTTCCGTTTCTCTTGTGTTCGCTTATGCTCATTTATGTGAGCCATATTCTACTAAGTCTTCTTGATTGTTTTCTGTTTTTTATTTGTCAAAAGAAAATTTTCATGATCTAGGCTCAATTGTAAGCACTTGGGATTTGTCCCATAAAGAAGCCTCTCTTGTTAGATGCTAAATAGAATTACTGAGAAAAGTTCTGGACTATATCATGAAGTCACCAAATAATTCAATTAGTGTCTGTCTGCCTAAGATGATGGTTCAGATGTGATTTTCACTGAAGACGTACACAAACACATTATGATAGATTCAGTTTAAATGGAAATTTATGTCTTATTTTTGTGAAGGAGAAAACATAGATTTGGGGGGTAAATTTATACTATTTGGCACCCCATCCTCCCTTCTAAGCAATTGGTTCTTCCATTTTTATTAGCAATCTCAAAAATAATAAATGGTGTGTGTGTGTGTATGTGAGTGTGTCTATGCGCGTGTGTATATGTGTACATTCTCAACTGCCATTTGAACTCTATTTGTATAATATCAATTACCTTCTGTGGAATCTCTTTGCTTAGTGGTTCTGTTGGTTTATTTATTATCTCCATCAGGGTTTTTTTTTTTTACTTAAATATCTTTTTTTGTACGTGGACAAAGATCAACATGTCGCCCTTTTCTCTGTTTGTAAGCTTAAAGAAGCATTCAGAAGGATTCAAGATTTTGAGTCAGTTCGTGTCACCCAATTTCGGTAAGTAACACAATGGCCTTAGAAGGGCATCCTCAGAGTTGTGCACCCATCCTGCAGAATGCCCAGTGCTGTTCCCAAATGGCCTTGACAGAAAATAGGGCAGAGCTGGTCTTCCTAGTATTCTTACTAAAGTAAGAATTTAAAAGCATTAAAAAGCATTGCTTTTGTCTAGTAATGCTTTTAAATGCCAGAAGAGGAAACTTAAACACCGAATGGCAGTCTTCAAGCTATAGATCAGAGACTGGAACTGCAAACCCGCAGGTGGAAAACTCGGAATGTACTCGGAATGTTTCAGGAGATCGTGGTGTGCATGTATGGACCAGGATTGGGGGGGGGGGGCGGAGATGAGGGCTGTGGGTTGCAGAGGGATGGTTTTTCTCTGTCCATAAGCACAAGGGGATATGATACAAAGTTGTATAACTGGGAGCCATGGGGGCAGCCTTGGGCAAACCATTATATTTTTGTGTAGGAATCATGTGTGCACTATAACTCATAACCCAGTAGGCATTGTCTACAGCAAATAAAGATATATTTAGTAAATTATCTTTTTGTTTATGCTTTCATTCCAAAAGTTATATGGTTAGTTAGCCATGTGTAAATTGATTACTAACTATTAATAATCTTCTTGATAGAGGAAGTGGCTTAGAGGTCAGAGAGCTTGACTTATTATATATATAAGAAGGGGAGTGGGACAGAAGGAGAGAATCTCAAGCAGGCTCCATGCTGACCCAGGGATCATGACCTGAGCTGAAATCAAGAGTCAGACCCTCAATCAGCTGAGTCACCCAGGAGCCCCTCCACCTGCTATTCTTATCATTTCACCTGTCTCTCATAACACTTAACTAAATGTATATGTCATGTATATTTATGTTATATAAATTATATATAATTGCTTATATGTGGTGGTCGCTTGTTTCCTATTTGCCTTGTCTTCTCTACTAGAATGTAAGCTTCATGAAGACTGGCACCAAATCTGTTTGATGTGTTCCTGCAGACCCAGTGCTGTGCATACACACAGCAGGCCCTGTGTGACCGAATGAATCTCATTTTTCTTTCCACATAGTCATTATAGAGATGGAAGCATCGTTGCTGGGTTTGAAGCTGTGGGTTCCAGCAGCACATCAGAGCTGCTGTCAGCCATTGAACAGGTGGCTGGGAAGGTGAAGGCAGGCCTTCAAAAGCTCTTCCCACTAGAAGATGGCTCTTTCAGAGTATTTGGAAAAGGTAACACCAAATTCCCCTCTCTGACTCAGTTACGGGAGTCCTTTAATTCGTAGTTTATTTGTGTCTTCTGATGGAAATGTTTCTGATACAGGATTGTAGTAAGACTGACTTTTGGTAGACATGGTCAGCCTTCCCACCTCCCACTCTCAACATGATGAAACTCAGTTTCAGTGGATTATTTCAGATCCTTGCTGACAGCGATCTGGTCTCCAGTTGCCAGTGTAAACACTGTGGAAGCTGGACTTTACTGTAGGCTTTGCTGGAAATGACTCAGCAATAGTTTACTGGTACACATACTGAGAGAGCCCCGGGGCTGACATATGCTTAAATCATAATCCAAGGAACCAAAGAAAGAATGGGTATATCTAGATCTTTAACACACACACACACACACACACACACACACACACACGACAGCACCACTTTTCCTCATATTTTTTCCTTTTCCCTTTTTTACATTCAATCTTAAACCTATTGTATCCAGATACGTACCACTTTCAATAACATGTATTCAATAATATTTACTAAGTGCCTAAAGTGTATAGGCACTTAAGACACAACAGTAGGAAAAACAAACACATATCAAAGCCCTTGAGGATCTTCCATTCAGGGTTTCCTTCTCTTGGTCCTGATCACAGTGAGAATATGCTATTAAAGGCCAGCTGCAAGAAAAAAGTAGTGACCGTTCACAATGTGAGAGGTTTTTAAAGGAGTACAAAGTTGGATGTCACCCTAAAATGGCAACTGCTCCTCTCTGAACCATATCATTACTGCTCTGTTCCCTAGCTTATTGAAGATTTTTTGATTTTTTGGCATTTCCTTACCGAGTGAAATTCCTTCCTGAGAGTGATTGTACCAGTCTTATTTTCACCTGATGCTTACTAGTTGACAGCCCATTAAAAGCCAGATTATTGGCACAGATCAGACACAAGCCAGCCTTGGGGAAGGCATTAGAAAGGAGAAAAGGGTACAGATAAGGATGAGGCTGGGCATCAAGGACAAGTTTCTACTCCTGAATTTTGCATGGGTTTTGTCTCTGAAAATATGACTTCTAAAGCACTGCTTCATAGAATGGTTTATAGAGAGTGCCAGGATATTTAGACATTTTTTCCTCTTCATTTCCATTTTTTTTCCCAGCTGAGTGTAACAGCATTGTCTTTGGATTTGGGTCCAGGAACGATGAGTATACTCTTCCCTGTAGCAGCGGCTACACTGGAAACATTACAGTCAGGTGCCAGCCCTCTGGGTGGCAGGTCCTCAGGGAGACATGTGTCCACTCTCAGCTAGAAGAACTGAGGAAGGTAAAGCATCTCTATCTTGTGTTTTGAATGTCAGTGTGGGCATCTCCCAGTGAGCACTGTTAGGTGGAGGATAATATATCAATTTGTCTCATTGGTTAGTGCACTGAGGTCAAGGGTGTAATCAGACCCTGGCAAACCCAGGGAGTGTGGACATGGGTAGCAGCGTCTAGGTGGATGCTGAGAGGGTCAGAGCAAGTCAGAGCTGATGTTTCTAGTGGGAAGGGTGCTACAGAGGAGTGAGTCAATGCTGAAGAGTTCTATGATAGTAAAAGAGCAACCAAGCTGGCCTTAGAAGTCCAGAAAGCCAGGGAATCAAAGATCCAAGTGAAGGTGTGAGTCAGACGTTAAACTCAGTACAAGTGAGGGGATGTATACACGTCAGAAACCTGGACAGGGAGTGGGTCAGCCGGGGGTGAACCATATACAATGACAGAACTGCAATGGATCTTAAGGGTCATCTGGCTTACCAACCTCTTTTTATAGATCAGGAAATGAAAGGCTAAGAGGCTAATGGTCCCTTCGGTAGCAATAACATTGAACTAGAAACATGATCACTTGATTTCCAGTCCTGAACTGTGACCTCCACATGATGTTTCCTAAGGCGAGGTAGATAGAAAGCTGGAAGCAAATAGTGAGGAATTAGAACTCAAGGCATGGAAAGGAGGGACTCTGAGACCAGGCCACAGACATTATTCTGCTAACAGATGTCCATAGTGAGCATAACTTATCTCCCAGCCTGAGACCTTGTATTGCAGATGAAACTCAGAATGATATTTTTCAAAGACAGTTTACTGCTCCCTTTTTGAGTTTTCTCATCTGTAAACTGGGGAGGGAGATTGGGCCAGATGGCTTCTGGCATCTATCCTTGCTCTTGCCTTCTCTACATCGGCTCCAGGCATGGACCAGAGCTGGAACTAGTCTCCTCCAGGTGTGAAGGCAGGCAGGTCCCAGGTGCTGTGAGCAGAGAACAGTACTGTCAGCTGAAAAGTACAAAAAGGAAAACAGATGGGATATGATCCCTGGGTTGACTTGGTTTGAACGGAAAGGAATATGCCTTCTTGGCTGCCTGCCAAGCTAGCTCAGTGTAGTGAAAGCAGAAGGGAACCTGAAGGAAGAAGCAAAACTCCTAATTCAACGACAAAGTGTAGTCATATCTCCACATATGTTCCTTTGTCTTCTCATTCCACAAGAATTTCTCAGCATAGTAGAGTGGATATAACATAGGATTTAGTGCCAGTAGACCCAGTCTTTCCACTTCCTGCTGTGTAGTTTGGAAAGTCACCGAAGCTCACTGGATATCAGTTTCTCTCTAATCAGGGTCATAATTTATATGAAACGCAAGCATTTTGTTGTTCTCTAGAACTTAACCCTTTTTATTCCTAGAATTTCAGTGTGATTGCAGGCAATGCCACCGAGGCAACTGTGTCATCCTTGGTGAGAAATCTTTCACTCGTCATTCAGCAGAACCCATCAACTACGGCTGGCAATCTGGCTTCAGTGGTGTCCATTCTGGACAATGTTTTGTCTCTGTCACTGTCAGGCCATTTCAAGGTGTCCAATTCAACTATGGAGGTATGGTCTCCTTATGCTAGAAGAATTCACTTTATTTTTTTTTTAAGTTTATTTATTTCTTTGAGGGGGGGAAGAGAGAGAGAGGGAAAGAGAGAATCCTTGATGTGGGGTGTGGTCTCATGAACCATCAGATCATGACCTGAGCCAAAACCCAGAGTAGAACACTTAATCGATGGAGCCACCTAGGTGTCTCAAGAATTCCCTTTGAGGTGCTCTATCTCTTAGGAAGAATGATATGAGCCCAAGTTGAAAGCACACCATTGAAAAAGACCAAAGAGTGGTGCCTGGGTAGCTCCGTCAGTTAAGTGTGGATTCTTGTTTCCAGCTTGGGTCATAATCTCTGAGTTCGAGCCCCACGTCAGGCTCTACACTGACAATGTGGAGCCTGTTGAAATTCCCTCTCTCTTCTCTCTCTGTCCCTTCCCCACTTGCATTCTTTCTCTCTCAAAATAAATAAACTTTGGAAAAATAAAAGACTGAAGAGTCATGTAACTGTCTTTTATGAGCTTTACTGCTTCCTCGACAGGGTACAAGGAAGCTACAGGACTGATTATGAGTTAAAAAATGGGCTACCTCTCAGCAGGCTTAGAGGGAGGAATGAGCTTTGGCACTGTATGACACAGGTGCCAACTTTTTCATGTATTTGGAGTTATCTTTCCTGTGGCTCAAAGCTCTGATTTTAGTAGGATATATTTTAAGAACTCTCTCATTTTGACTGGGGAATTCATGATTTAGTTTGGATATTTAAAAATTAATTTAGGGGTACCTGGGTAGCTCAGTTGGTTAAGTGTCTGACTCTTGATTTGGCTCAGGTCATGATCGTATGGTTGTGAGATCGAGCCCACCATCAAATGCTAGGCTGAACATGGAGCCTGCCTAAGATTCTCTCTCTCTCCCTTTTCCTCCGCCCCTCTCCCTTAAGCATGTGCATTCTCTCTCTTTCTCAAAAACAAGCAAACAAATTAATTAATTAAAATTAGCTTAAAATTTGGGCAGATGAAACTTGCTTACTAAGAAATGCAAATAGGCAAAAAAAAATGATATGTAATCTGGTCACCCTAGAATAGCCACTGCTTACATTTTGGGTATCACCTCAGTGCCAAGAAAATAACAAATAGCACATAGAAGTACTTAATAAATATTTGTTAAATTTTTATTTTGTTAAATAAATGTCCTGCCAACCATTTTGGATATATGCATTTTATATGTTAAAGTACATTGTATTTTACAAAACTGGATTATAGAATGTATACTGTTACATAATCACACAATTATATACAACTATGTGAGATGAACATTATGTCAGAGATGACACTAAATATAAATAGGTTAAACTCCCTGAAATCAAAATAAAGATGCTAAAAAAATTTTTTTTGAAGTCTGACTTTGGTTGTTTACTAGAAACCAACTAAAACAAAAGGACAAATATCTAAAAATAAAATGTAGAGCACAGAGCAGGCAAACAGAAACCAAAAGAAGGAAGAAGTTCCAAGAGGCAGTACAAGAAACATGCTATGGGACTTGGGGCCAGAAGCCACAGAGTGTTCATTTAGGGTGAGACTCAGTCAGAGTGATAATGCCTGGGACAGAATGCTTGGGAATCAGAGCCATAAGCCAGAGACAATGTCCCATTGGAGAAAGTGGCAACTTTCAAGGGCTTGTTAGGAAAAGGAATCTCTTAAACTAAGACTGACCCTTAAAACCCACAACAATTCCATTTCTGGTTGCTCATCCAGTTTTTAAGGATTTTTGCTTTATATTCTCTTCTGTTAAATGAAGGTCATAAATCCACATGAATTAAAACTTGAACGTCCATGACAAGAATTTAGAACTTCTGAAAAAAAAAACATGATATTGGAAAGCAGTTCGAAATAATGTCTTACTCTTTGAGGCTCAGCTGAGCTATTAATAGGGCAGCCATGTTGCTCATCTCTGAGGACAGAAATGGGCACTGTGGCAGCCCACACCACAGGATTTTTTCTAAGCCATGCTGGTTCTCCAGTGTGCATATGAATGCTGGGCAGATGACTCTGGGACTTACATGCTTCTGCTGACCGAAGTTACTTAACCCAAAGCGTCCACTGTGCAGAGCAACTAAGCTGCTTATTGCTGATGAGTCTGAATGTGGTCCTCAGCTGAGCCAACTCTCTGGGCAACTATACTATACTTAATAATCTAAAGACTCTCTGCTCCACTCCTCTGACCTGCTTATTTAAAATACAAACTGACTTTCATCCTTGTATTTCAGGATGTCATTAATATAGCTGACCACATCCTTAATTCAACATCAGTAACCAACTGGACGGTGTTACTGCGGGAAGAACAGCATGCCAGCTCACGATTGCTGGAGACACTGGAAAACATCAGCAGCCTCGTACCTTCGACAGCTCTGCCTCTGAGTTTTTCTCGGGATTTCATTAACTGGAAAGGGATTCCAGTGTCCCGAAGCCAACCTGAGATGGGTTACAGCTATCAGGTTGAGCTGTCCCACCAAAATACTTCCAAACCCATCAGAGGCCATGTATTAATTGGGTCAGACCAATTCCGGTGGTCCCTTCCAGAAACTATTATCGGCATGGCCTCGTTGACCCTGGGGAATATTCTATCCATTACCAAGAATGGAAGTGCTCAGGTCAATGGGCCGGTGATATCTATGGTTATCCAAAACTATTCCGTAAATGAAGTCTTCCTGATTTTTTCCAAGATAGAGTCAAATCTGAGCCAGCCTTACTGCGTGTTTTGGGATTTCAGGCATTTGCAATGGAACAATGCAGGCTGCCAGCTAGTGAATGAAACTCTAGACACGGTGATGTGCCGATGTACTCACTTGACTTCCTTCTCCATACTGATGTCACCCTTTGTCCCACCTGCCATCATTCCCTCTGTGAAACTGATCACCTATGTGGGGCTGGGTATCTCCATCGGAAGTCTCACCTTATGCCTAATTATTGAAGCTCTATTTTGGAAGCAGTTCAAGAAAAACCAAACTTCCTACACACGTCATATTTGCATGGTGAACATAGCCCTGTGCCTCCTGATTGCTGATATTTGGTTTATCGTTGCTGCCACTGCAGACTCCACAGTAAGCTTTCCTGGAGTCTGCATGGCTGCAGTGTTTTTTATGCACTTTTTCTACCTCTCCCTGTTCTTTTGGATGCTCATGCTCGGCATCCTGCTGGCTTATCGGATCCTCTTTGTGTTCCATCACATGGGCCTACATGTGATGATGGCCTTCGGGTTCTGCCTGGGCTATGGGTGCCCTCTCATCATATCTGTCATCACCATTGCAGTCACACAACCTAGCAACAGCTACAAAAGGAAAGACGTGTGTTGGCTTAATTGGTCTGATAACAGCAAACCCCTCCTGGCCTTTGCTGTTCCTGCACTGACCATTGTGGCTGTGAACTTGGTTGTGGTGCTATTAGTTCTCATGAAGCTCTGGAAGCCTCCTGTTGGAGAAAGGCCGAGTCAGGACAACAGGGCCACTATTGTCCGCATGGGGAAGAGCCTCCTCATCCTGACCCCTCTGCTGGGGCTCACCTGGGGCTTTGGCATAGGGACAATTGTGGACAACCGGAATCTGGCTTGGCATGTTATTTTTGCGTTACTCAATGCGTTCCAGGTAAGAACAATAAGAACTCCTTATATCATCACCTGATTGGAATAATTATAAAGAACTGAGGTTGGTAATACCACTCTGGAGGCTATCTTCATCTCCCCACCCCACCAGGTCTATACCCAACATTGCATGTCAACGATGAATAGAAAACAAACAAATAAGAGGATGCATATTTTCCAATAGTTATTCTTATACTGAAGCAGAATATTAGACCGCTTCAGTAATCCATCCCAGGGCTTAAAATTTTTTTAATGTTCATTTATTTTTGAGAGACAGAGTGTGAGTGGAGGAGGAGTAGAGAGAGAGGGAGACACAGAATCTGAAGCAGGCTCCAGGCTCTGAGCTGTCAGCATAGAACCCGATGCGGGGCTCGAACTCACAAACTGTGAGATCATGACGGGAGCCAAAGTCAGACCTTAACCGACTGAGCCACCCAGGTGCCCCTCTACCCTATGATTTTAAATCTGTTTAAATTCATATAGCTAACATTAATCCCTCTTGCTGCTAACTCAGTCCTCTTCCTCTTGGGCAGACCTCTCCGCGAAAGCACACAAGGTAAGGGAAAGAAATCAAGAGTGACGGTTGACTCTGCATGGTGCAAAGGAAGTCTCTGGAGCATGATAGAGCAGGAGCTGGCAAACTGTAGCCAGCTCTGTTTTTGTCAATAAAGTTTTATTGGAAGACAGCCATACCAATTTATTGAGGTATGGTCTGCGGCAGCTTTCTTCACACTGCCAAAGCTGAGCAGCTGCAATTGTATGACCTACAAAGCCTACAACATGTCCTCTCTGGCTCTTTCCAGAAAAAGTTTGCCTACCCCTGCTGCAAAGTGTGGGTTTTACATTCCACAATCAAAGAGTTGTTCAGAGAGTAGGTAGACAAAGTAATCTTTCGGATTTGGTGAGTCTGGAAGAGAGCCTTTAATCCTGGTTTGATGCAAGTTTGCTGGTCCCCTCTGGACAATGATTCAGGGAGATAGTGGTTAAACATTTAAGCTCTGGACTTAAATAGGTCTCAGCTCAAATATGTCAGATTATCAATGGTGGCCACTAAAAATATTACTTAACCTCTCAATTCTCTCATCTGTTAATAATATCATTAACTATATCATAAAGTAAATGTGAATATGAAGTGGCAAAATTTAGCTCTTAGCAAAGTGTCTGGCACAAGAGAAAATGCTAATATGTCTTCTAAAAGCAAACGGTCTTCCACCCATGTCAGCCTACTGGTGAAAGTTTTCAGTGGTAGTACAGATGACAAACCCGAGTGCACTCACTTAATGGTGACAGGCTTAGGGAGCTTCTGTTGAGGGTGGACCCATGGTGATCTGCTGTGTAAACAGGCACCTGGAGGAGGATTCCAAGGTACAAGAAAGCCAAGGGTTCCCAAAGAGTTGTACTTGATGGAAAGGATAGAGATATAGGTCCTCCATTTGAGCTTAACATTGGACCTCAGTGCCTGCTGCCATCATAAATGCTTAGTCAATGTTTATTTAATGCCTATTCCAAAGAAAGACTAAGATATAGAAGCAAATGGAAGTTATTTATCTTGGGTTCAGGATGACACAAAGGGGAAAAGAAAATGGCATGCATTTAAAACATTATTCATTCATTTATTTATGGATTCAACACAACCAACATTTTTTGAGTGCTCTGTTATGCCAGGCATTGAGGAGTGACCCGGTGTCCTTGCCTTCAAGGAGGCCACAGTCTACCAGGGAGACAGACAAGAAAACAACTTGAATGCTGGGTGACAGAATAGTATTACATATCTATGCTTCATTTTTCTGGAAAAGACAAGACCACACATGTGATTGATCTATTCTTTTTTTTTTTTTTAGGGTTTTTTCATCTTATGTATTGGAATGTTCTTGGATAGTAAGGTATGCGTGTCCATTTCTCTCTTCATCTCTTTCTTCTTCTAATCCAGAAGAAATCTACCCTAATAAGATTTCTGGGCTCTTATTCACATGTAAGAGGTGAGACCCTGGGTACTTTTGGAATCAAATTCTATAATTTTATAAAAGGTAGACACAGTGCAAATACTCACTGCTGATAATAAAATTATATAGAACTAATCACAGTATATAATGTGACCATTGTAGACAAAAAAGGGAAATTTTACTTTTCATTTGGTACTTTTATCCATGATTTGGCAGTCATTAAAGAGCAAAAGTACTTTCTGGAAGGGTGAATTTTGCTCCTTGATTAAATGTATGCATTTACTTTGAATATGCTGAAAGAAGTATCTCCTGCTATATTTCTAGAGTTTTATATGGTGAAGACTAAATAGCCTTTAACATTAAGTAACATCTCTAATGAAGGACAACCAACGTAAGCAAAAGATTATAGAAAAAAATTTATATAAACTGGTTTCATTATTTTTTGCAAGCTTTGAGCAATTCTGTTGATAGACATAAAGACAGTAAGCTAACAATACAAACTTTGTTTTAATAAGAAGATAAGACTGTTTTATAATTAGCACAATTGTAGCACATACACAAAATCTCTGTTTACAGAGAAGTAATTTGCTGTTCTTGATGAGACTAAATAATTCCCTTGATGGCATCATTCACATGGTTAGGAAACTCTTTCCTTCAAAGATAAATTTCAATTTAGCAATTATTGTCAATTACTATTGTCTAGAATCTGAATTATTATGGCTTTTAGTACTGTTGTTCTTTGTTTCATCTTAGATTTGTTTATAGGTATAGCAAACAAATAAAAGAAATCCTTTCATCAGATAGTCATGGTTAAGGTCTATGAAGGGCTTCCAGGAAATAATTCTGGTAAACAGCAATTCCAATCTGTAGTTTTGTTCTGGATTTGCCTATTATGATCATGCATGTGCCTCTCTTCAATATTTCTTTGTTGCCTTATAGTTGCGACAGTTGCTGTTCAACAAATTGTCTCCTTTAAGCTCTCAGAAGCAAGCATCAAAGGTAATCGTGTCCTGCTGCCAGGGGTCCAATGCCTGAAATTTGGTTTCACACTTTTCTCTATGCGCAGTTTCACAGCAAGACCATGTTGGCATAACCCCTTGAGTTTCCATCACCATTATATTTATGCTATCTGGCATTGTGTCTTGCCCAGGGTCCATGCTCATAAAGTTGAGTGAGTGAGACGATGAATGAATGAATGAATGAGAAGGCAAGGAAAGTTACAAAGAGAGTCAAGCATTGAGGTCTGTGGGCATTCTTGTGGGCAAATACCTTTGAACAATCATTTGCTTTAGTCTGACTTGACTGCCAATATCTAGAGTCAGTGAGACCCTTTTCTCTGCCTGACTTTCTGGACCTCCTGTAGACCATTTTGCCTTCAGACAAGTAAAAGGTTAATTTCTATTATTAGAAATGTTCTCTTTGAAAAGTGTTCCCTCTTAAGTGGGTACAATTGACTGTGACCCTTGCAACTCTAGCTCTTAAATCTACAAAGTGAGACATCTGTATGGAAACAGAGGATTCCTGTTTCATTCTTTGCCATGAGAGTGTAATCAAGGAGCAGTGGCTTGTGAGATGGGCCCTGCCCTGTATTTCTCACTCACTGACCAACTGGCTGAGTGATCTTAGGAAAGTCACATGGTACCTTTTGGTTTTATTTATTTTTTTCAGCTGTTAACATCAACTATTGGACTAGTTACTCAAAGCAGAAGTTCTGACTTTCTGTGATTTTGAGTTTATATCTTGAAAAACCAAAATGTTCAACCAGAAAATGTGGAACTAGTAAATCACTCACTATTCTTAAGCAAAGGAGGGAGATACAGCAGATGCAGCTGCATTATAGAAAACCCTGTAGTTAACAAGGTGAGACAGGCACCCCCGCCCCCCAACTTCCCCACCCTCCCAACTCCCCCACCCCTGCATCCTGCCAAGCAGGAGCCAGAGTTTTTATGGTTCAAAAACCTAAGAGAGAAAAACATCCCAAAGTCAATTAAAACAAAAACAAAAGTAAGGATGCTCGACAGTATTTTTTCTTCCTGTTTCTAATGTGAAGTGTTGACACTCCTCAGCAAGCAGCCGTGGTCACTGAGGGCTTCACATCTTGTAGATTTGCACTCCTTTTCCGATGTCATTTTTTAATTAGATGACAAAAGTGGGGTTTTCTTTTTGCATCAGATGGCTCACTTGCTTTAAAATAAATGTATATTTGGCAGAAGAGAAGAGGGGAGTTCGTAATTTCCCAATGGAGTTTGAATGTAAAACAGGAACCCAGATTACAGTGGTTGAGGAATATAGGCGAGGAAGAGATACCTCAGTGGGGATGTTCCTGTCAAGAAACTTGTTGTGAGAGAAAAGAGAGTGAGGGTGGAAAGTAGACGCAGACTCAAGACCAGCAGTGATGGTGGAGCTGAGTCACGAGGATGTGAGCAAGTCCATATGCTGGGAGGGATGAGCCAGCAAAGAGAGTTTGAAGACAAATGGGGGTTGGGGAGAATGACTGAGGGAAGAAGATTCTTGGAAAGGCAGATGGGATAGCTAGACTGAAGACGGAGGGGGCAGCCTCTTCCCTGGACACTGGAAGCATCAGTCTGATGCAGGTAGAGCAACGTATGCAGATTGGGTCACGGGGTGAGAGAATTCAGACACAGACACTTTTTTGTTTTGTTTTGTGTTTAAAGTAGGAGAAAAGGCTATCCAATAAGAGATGTAAAAATGGATGGCAAAATAGGGGTCTTACAAGGTCAGTGAAATTTGCTTGTTGGCTGAAGGGAATGAAAGAGGCCAACGATGTTCTCCACAAGGAAGCCCTCAAGCCACCATGATACTGTGTGGACCCGTGGTGCAGTTTCCCTCAAATCCTTGCTGAGGGCTGAGGGACCCTTCTAGGCCCTTCCATTGTCCCTAGCCATGTTGTCTGTAACTCTTCTCCAAGAGGCAGACACTGGTGGCCTCTACAGATTCTCCCTCCAGAGAGAGGATATTTATTTATTCATGGTTCCAGTGATTCAGGTCCTGTTATTGACCAATATCTTAGCCCCATGTACTCACATGTCCGAAAGGCTGCTTTTTCCCAGACCATGTAGAGTCCCTGATAGTGTTGCAACCTAAGATTTTTTTTCTCTGTATGGGGCAGGATATAGGTTTTTGTTTTTGTTTTTGTCTTCTTTTTTTTCTTTTTATTTATTTCTAGGGGAGAGAGAGAGAGAGATACAGTGTGAGCAGGGGAGGGTCAGATAGAGAGGGAGACACAGAATCCGAAACAGTCTCCAGGATCTGAGCTGGCTGTCAGCACAGAGCCCGATGTGGGGCTTGAACCCACCAACCATGAGATCATGATCTGAGCCGAAGTCGGCCGCCCAACTGACTGAGCCACCCAGGTGCCCCAGGATATAGTTTTAAAAGCAATGATAATGACCATAGAATTTTTCTTTACGGTTATAGTATTTGTTTACTAAGTCCTGAATCTAGAAAATCAATCATTTTCCTTTGGAACTTTTGGACATTTCTCATTCTTATCTCTATGATAATTTTCTTCCAAGAGCTCAATGTGGAGTAGCAACTTTTATATTTCAGTGAAAATCAGGAGCTATCACTGGGCTGCCTACCGCATATACAAGAACTTTCTTCTCCTGTCTTGATTTAGCTTCCTCATGACATGGACAGGGGTAGGAAATGGAGCTCATTCTTTCCAATATTCCTGGTACCTAATGTAGTGTCTAGCACACAGTGGTACTCAACAGGAGGTGTTAAATTGATTAATAAATCAGTTGATGAGTGGAAAAAGATATAATGTATCTTAACACTTTTACCTACCCCATAAGTACATGTTCTTTATTTGAAATATTTGGTTTCAGTTAGATGATCCAGTTATCAAACTTCTGAACTCAATTTAGCTTCTGCTGCAGTTACTAAAGGATTATTCACAGACAGATTTGAATTCTAAAATGAGTGAGAATAGGCAAAGTCTTATTTGAGATCATTTTTATAGAACTATTGTTTTTTTCCCCATGGGTTCCTTTTATAGTGATAAATGTGTGAACCAAAGAAATGTAAGCATAAGCATGAAAAAAGATAATGCCTTCTTTATTTTATTTATTTTTTAAGTGCTTTTTTTATTTTTTATTTTTGAGAGAGAGTGTGAGCAGGAGAGGTGCAGAGAGAGAGGGAGACACAGAATCTGAAGCAGGCTCCAGGCTCTGAGTTGCCAGCATAGAGCCCGACATGGGGACCCATGAGCTGTGAGATTATGACCTGAGCTGAAGTCAGACACTTAACCAACTGAGCCACCCAGGCGCCCTAATAATGCTCTCTTTAAACCTGCTTTCTAGTTCATTGTTAGAAGTTGTGAGAATATACAGGAACACAAGATTCACTTAGAAATAAGTTCTTAGGCATTTAAAAATGATTAAAAAAGAAGAAAGAGTAGGAAAGGAGTACTCTATAAAAGAGAATAGCGCACCATGTAAATGGAGTAAAAGTTCACTGATGACATTAAGATGTCAGAAATGCGGAGCGCCACTAAAAGAATAGAGCTCATGTCCGAATGACTTCTTTTTCTTTCACGCAGCAAAACTCAACAGAGGTATCTGCCAAACCCAAATACCCAAAGCCCTTCAACCCATTGCAACACAAAGGTGAGTTAACAATAAGCCAAAGATTAATAAAAGGCAGAAGAAGAATATGAATATATCATATGAGGAAAACTGAAGTGTACTTTTACTTATTTTTTATTAAAATTTTTTTTTAAAAAATCTTTATTTTTGAGAGAGAGAGAGGGAGACAGACCATGAGCAGGGGAGGGACAGAGAGAGAAGGAGACACAGAATCTGAAGCAGGCTCTGGGCTCTGAGCTGTCAGCACAGAGCCTGACGTGGGGCTCGAACTCACAGACCACGAAATCATGACCTGAACTGAAGTTGGACACTTAACCAACTGAGTCACCCAGGTGCCCCTAAAGGGTACTTTAAAAGCCCTCATGTGGAAAGTGGAGGAATATCAGCTGGCCATATGTCTGGAGTTCATCTGGATGGTGCTCGGGGCTGATGGAATATTGTTGGGGATTTGAGGCTCATGGAGACCTATGGTGTCCCTTTTCATTTCCTCACAAATTACCACCATTTCCTAACTTAGACATTAGATAAATTGATGACATTCATCACTGGGGTCATGGGGTGCATTAGTGTGGTTAAATGAACACCAATTTTGTCCTTACTGGAGAGTCACTCCTCTGTGTCAGCAACTGGGCAGTGGGCACGGGCCAGGTATTTGTGCCTAATCAGGTAACCCCAACTCCCTAAAATGTTCCTGCAAAAGGAGAAGCTACCACCTGCTATGGGTGAGAAAGCACTGTTCCCTTCACCTGTGACATGCATTGTTTTTATCCTCATATATTGGCTGTAGCTAAAGTCAGTGATATTCAGCTCCTGGAAGGCTGATGTGTATGCATCGCAAATAGTTGCCATTTGCCTGGAGGAGAAGAGTGGAACCAGAGGGGTGACAGAGTTAAGCTGAAGTCATATTTAAATGCCCGAGTCCCATTTCTTCTTAAATTCGGTTAATACCATTATTAGGGCAGAGAAATGGGCCACTCATGTTAGATTCTAAGCAAAATTATTTGAATTCCAAATAAAGTTCAAGTGTTTGAACTTGAAAAGGTGCTTTTCTCCCAACATGTCCAATGCGCCCACCCAGAAACCTTGGGTCCTGTTATCACCATCACCTACAGCTAGAGTGTTTTTTACAAATCTCTTAACCTTTTGGGATGTTTATCTCTAAGAGATCACAACGCTTCCTTCTAGCAATAACATTTTATGATCTCAAATCTACTTTATCTCATGTCTCAGCCGCATCTGAGAGATGTGGTGCTTCTCCTCTCAAATGAGAGATGTCTGACAAACACAAGTCTCTTCAGCATTAACGAGAGTGTGGCTGTCTGTCAACCAGTTACATTCTGTAGCTTTCCCTATCACCTTTCCAGAACTGTCCAGAGTGGTAAGGACCTGCATAGGCATATTTTCTTTTTTGTTTTTTTGTTTTTGTTTTTTTGCAAATAGTTTCTTGTCAAGTTCGTTTCCACATAACACTCAGTGCTCATCCCCACAAGTGCCCTCCTCCATGCCCATCCCTCCTCCCCCCCACATACATCAGTCCTCAGTTTTTGTCAGCATTCAACAGACTCTCATGGTTTGCCTCTCTCCCTTTCCCCCACCATTTCCCCCCCTCTTCTCCCCCTTGTTCTTCCGTCAAGTTCCTCCTAATCCTCCTATACGTGCAAACATATGATATTTGTCCTTCTCTGCCTGACTTATTTCGCTCAGCATAACACCCTCAAGGTCCATCCACGTTGCTACACATGGCCAGATTTCATTGTTTCTCATTGTGCATAGGCATATTTTCATTTTGGTCTCATGCTCGATTCCAAGATGGAAGCAATAACTCTTATCATCTCTTTCCTTTCCTAGGCATTTATGCCCTTTCTCACACTGGAGAATCCTCAAATGACATCACGCTAACTCAGTTTTTATCAACTGAATAAGGCTGCAAACCATAAAATTGAGGGAAATTGTTTTGGTGCAACTTAACATTTAGAACTAAATGTCAGTGAAAAAATTAGCTCAACAATAGGTGGACCTTTCTGATGTGGACGGCTGGAATAAAATGAGAATGTTTCAGCAGCTAAATCACTGCTTTTTTTTTTTAATCTTCGTTTCAACGGAACCATTTATTTCCATGTGGTTTGATTCAAAGGATTTGCTTCATAAATGTTGGAAAGCAGGTTTTATCGGAAGTTGCGTCTGTTGTACCAGCTTTTCGCCGCCACAGACTACAGTTTCCTTTTTCATGAAATAGCATTATTCATGTGGCTTTCCTGGTCACCTGAACTGCAGTCAGAAAACGTCATGAAATCACCCGAGATAAATGGATGGCCCATGTTCACTTCCTATCAAAAAGTCATTGATGCAAATTTCCTAGAGAAAAGGCATTTCCCTCCCAAATTTTCTAGTTGGATTTTATGCTTTTTTTTTAGGTTCCGTTACTTACTTTTGAGACTTAATCAGAAATAATAAAATGAAAAAATTCGATTTCACACAGCTTTGTGGCCATTAGTTGGAAAGTATAATGATATGATTTCATATGTAATGTGGTGTTTTTCAGTCTATAAGGCATTTTCATCTGGCCTCCTGTCCAGTGAAGTGAGGTGTCCAGGCAGATCTAGATCAGAGTGAAATGGAGGCTCATCAAGGTGGAGATTGTGCAGCCAGTAAAGGGGTACTGAGGGCTTTTAGGGCTTTTGGTTCCTAGTCCAGTTCTATGGCTCACAACTGCCTTGGAAATCACCTTCAACCCTAACAACACTTATAAGGTCAGATATGAGATTCATTACTCCCAGAATTCTCTCTATGTAAGTGGCAAATTGAGGGTTTGGTTGTCACCTTCCGGGGATATACCCTAACACATCCTGGTTTTCTTTCATAACCACTGTAAGTACTTTTGGGGGTTGTTTACATGTAGAGCCAGTGCCACTTTCAGATGAGACAGAGAGCAGCAGGTGGACAAGCACCACGTGAAATGATATTTCCTTTCCATTCCTTCACCCCTTGGGCTCACCAGAGTTTCAACCCTGACTACTGGGCCCAGAAGGACTGAGCCTTCTCTGACTCACGCCTGCTTCCAGAAATTATCGAAATCCTAAAAATCTGCATGGGTAGATTTCTTTCAACAATAATTGTGAGGACAATGGGGATGGTGATGATAATGGTAAGAGGTCAAATAAGAAGAAATAACAGTAACATTGTAAACTAGTTGACGATGGAGAACGGTTTCAAACTGTTAAGAAGAAATTATTGCAACCCAGAATTAAGTGTGAGGAAGAATAAAGATAACTTCAGCCACGGAAATTCTCCATAAATTTTCCTACAATGCTTCCCTTCCCAAAAGCTATTGGGAAATAGGCTGTACCAAATGTGGCAATAAACCCAAAAAGAAAAAGACTTGGGACCCTAGAAACAAAAGATGCTAGAGAAGAGAGAGCAGGGGGAATATCTAGAGTGGGGGTAAAAGGAGCTTCACCCCAGACAACAGCCTGGGGCAGATCCAGGCTAGATCCGCAGGAAAGATTGCTCAAGAAGATGAAAATGATAGTAGGATACCTAATAGATCTGAGTCTTATTATTTTTTTAAGTTATTCATTTTATTTTATTAATTATTTTACTATTTTTTTTTAAGAGAGAGAGCACGTGAGCAGGGGAGGGACAGAGAGGGAGAGAGAGAATCCCAAGCAGGCTCCATGCTCAGCATAGAGCCCAATGCAGGGCTTGATCCCACAACCTTGGGATCATGACCTGAGCTGGTATCAAGAGTTGGATGCGGAAATGACTGAGCCACCCAGGCACCCCTGAGTGTTATTTAGAAAAGATTTACATACCTGGGAGTGGGTTGGGATAAGTTTTTTATATGAACACAAAAGTCCAAACAAGTAAAAGAAAAGTGTTACATATAACAGAAACAAAATGCTGTGCAGAAAAACAAGTAATTAAACATACTACCTAACACAGCTATGAACGCAGTATACAGGGTAGCAATAATGAAAAGTGATTTTGGTTTGAAAGCAAGATAATAACACTTGGGCAAGTGGAGAATAGAAAGTCTCTTTTGAGGGATGGCAGAAGAGATCTAAATCTTTCTTTGTGTTTGGAAATCAATAAAAGTGAGAAACCAAGAAGCAACATTATAATCATGATATTTAGAAATATGGAAATAACTATCAAAAGAATAAAACAGCAGAGATTTTCTCTGAGAAGCAGAAATTATAGTTTTTTTTTTTTGGGGGGGGGGTCTTGAAACCATATCCCTGTAACTGTGGTTAAATATAAATAAATGTGGAATGTGTGTGTATAAATTGAAGAGAGAATGAGCTATCTTAAAAGTTGAAAGTCCCCTTGATTCATTTCCTTGAACTCAGAAGCCACAGGGCTCTGCAAGCTTATGTGGCTTTGGCCAGCTGCTTCAGGTCATCAAAATTCCTATGAGAGCTCCAATTTGAGATGTCAAGTAGGCCCCTGGGAATACTAGTTTATTGTCAAAGGAAGATCTGGGCTACACATGGTGCATAAAGCCATGGGGCCAGATGAGATCACCTAGTGAGTACAGGGCAAAAGTGAGGAGGTCCAAGCACTGAACCAGGGCACCTCATCATCTAGAAATAGGGAGAGGGAAAAGATCCAGGAAAGGGGAATGAGAAAGATCAGCCTGTGAAGTAGGAGGGAAACCAAACCAATCTGACATCCTAGAAGGTAAGAAAAGCATTTCAAGAAAGGTTTCAAGGATAGCATCTGGGCTAAATACTGCTGAGAGTCAAGGAAGGTAAAGACCCTGACTTGCTCATTCCCATCTTAATTTTTTTTAAACATTTATTTATTATTGAGAGGCAGAGAGAGACAGCATGAGCAGGGGAGGGGCAGAGAGTGGGAGACACAGAATCTGAAGCAGGCTCCAGGCTCTGAGCTGGCAACACAGAGCCCGATGTGGGGCTCGAACTCACAAACCATGAGATCGTGACCTGAGCTGAAGTCGGACGCTTAACTGACTGAGCCACCTAGGGGCCCCACTCATTTCCATCTTATATCAAGATATAAGAATATAACAGGGACTCAGAATAAGAAATTCCAGTGTTGGAAAATTTCATACTAAATATATAGAATGGACTTATGTTTAGACTTTGCTTGGCCTTATATTGGAAAAGCTCTTCCAGATCTGAAACTAGCTATTTTAGAAAGACAAATTTTCTCCAGGTTTTTCTGATGTTTTCAGAATAAATAAAGGGGCTGAGGAATAGTCATTCTGTAATACCTAGACTGTTTCTTAGACCAATATAGATTTTGGTACGAGCCCCACAGTTATGTCCATTCAGAGGACTCTTAAATGGAAAGACAATTTGCCTTTTGTTAAGAAGGCAGCAAGACTGTGCTGCACTTACCTTTATCAAACTTCAGGGGGCGGACTCTGACCAAGAAATAAATCCTGGACAACTCGCTCAAAGCTTAAACATACCTGAGATGCACTCTGGAATTTGGGGAATAAAAGGCGTTTTAATCCAACTCCTCTAATTAGGAACAATTTACAGTGTTGCTGTGGTGTTTTGTACAGTAAACGAGATTAGGGAGCTAAGAACATAATAGCTCTGTTTTGGGATAGCAAACAATACCTCTGTTTCCTGGGTTTATGCCCAAGTGTGCTGGTGAATTCTGAAGGCTGCCAGCATCTAAGCCAAGTAGGAATTAGGCATGGTTGGCTCGAGATTTCCACCTGCTAGAAACACGGGGTTTTATTTAAACTTGGGCTGCATCAACGGGATATCCTTGGATATTTTGGACTAATGCACAGTTAATTTAAGCACGTGGTGCAAAATTGACTGGGGATATTCTGAGCTTTTTGGATTCATCTCTTCCTTTGGGAGGAAGTAGTTTAGCAAATTTTAGAGTTTTGTCTGACATGAACCACATACTCCATGGCTGGGCTATCCAAACTCTTCACAGATTCCATGTTGTACCAAAGGTCTTAGGGGTGGACAAAGTAACACAAATGAGCCTCAACTGTATTTAGAGCAGGGATGTGATAGGCCCTCACAGACTCCTCAGGAAGGATCAAGGTGCTTACAGTGTACTCCACAGCCCTCACCTTACTGCCAAGGCTTGGCTTAGCACACAGTGTGATATGAAGAAAGGGTGGGAGAGGGCACAGAGGCTACGGAGCCTTCAATATTCCGATTCTGTGCCAGACTCAGCATAGATGACTTCTTTTGATCCTCAGAACAACACAGTATGTTATATATCATTTTCCCCTCTATAGAAGGATGTGGGGGGCTCAGGGATTGGATGAGAACAAACATGGAAGCAAGGAGACTCCACTCCAAGGTGCCCTACTCTGCCTCAACTTCCCATGTTCAGAAAGCCTCTGGCCTCAGTTCACACCAGCAGCAGCAGAGTTCGATATTTTATGGACAAAGATTTACCCCTTTGGGATAAATAGTGGATCCATGAGCCTGTCTTTTAAAAAAATATCATGATACCAAGATACCATGATGTAATTTTTCCAGATACTTTATTCCAGATTCTCCTGAGAACTTGAGTGAGGCTGAGGGGAGGGCTGGGACTTGAGAAACAACCGAAGCCATGAGCACTGGGGGAAGAGTCCCCTGTTTGCAGATGACAATAAATTTTCCCAGAATGGGTCTATATTCACCTGGCTTAATCCCAACCAGACATCCCCGGTTACATTTCCTTGATGGCCTCCTGGGGTGGACGTGGAGGGTTCTTTCTGGGAAGGAGTCCCAGGGAAGCCTGGCTTCCAGGAGCATCAGGCATTTCTCTGCATTACAGTTTCCCATCAGTAAGATGCACAGATCTGCACTTGATGAGCTTAGAGAGCCCAGCCAGTCCCGACTTTGTCTGATCCTGTGTCTCCTCATGGGTAACATGTTGAGAGAAGAGAAATTTATCACCAAAGAGGACCAGGCCAAGTGGGCTTGGAAGGACCTTATCGTGCTGGGTAGAAATCATAGATAAAGCACTGCCAACAGCTACATTATGCCAACCAGAGGGGAGGCAACACCCCTTTGG